ATACTGGGTTAAGCTAATGTAAACAAACTGAGCCGAAGAGTACTTCTACCCGGAACTATGAGCTGGATCCCTCTAGGCCAAAATATTCTACCCGAGTTAAGCTACGTAAAAACAACCCGAGCGAAGAGTACTTCTACTCGGAAATATGAGCTGGATCCCCCTAGGCAAAAAGGTTCTACCTGGGTTAAGCTATGTAAAACAACCTGAGTGAAGAGTACTTCTACCCGGAAATATGAGTTGGATCCCCCTAGGCGAAAGGATTCTACCTGAGTTAACCTGCATACTGAGCGAAGAGTACTTCCACCCGGAATTATGAGCTAGATCCCTCTAGGCGAAACAGTTCTACCTGAGTTAAGCTACGTAAAACAAACTAAGCGAAGAGTACTTCTACCCGGAACTATGAGCTGGATCCCTCTAGGAAAAAAAGATTCTACCCGAGTTAAGCTACGTAAAAACATCCTGAGCAAAGAGTACTTCTACCCGGAAATATGAGCTGGATCCCCCTAGGCGAAAGAATTCTACCTGAGTGAAGCTACATAACTGGGAGGTGCGAGCAATAGTGATGCATTCTGAAAAGAAAAATGGAGATTTTAAGGATCTTACGCTTGGTGACATTCGTTCTTTTAGGATCGACATTCTGCACTGCTTTGTTCCTGCTTCAAACAAAGAAAAATTTGTGAGTTTTCCAAGTGGTGGTTGGTTTGTGGCCTTGATGCCTTGATGCCTTGAGTAGTTTGATTCGCGGCCGCTCTGTCGAATAACCGATTCTGTCAGCGTGGTACCGAGATGCTTGGCTGCTTTGTATCATTTTCTAGAGACCTTGGCTTTCCAATATTGCCCCCAACTGTTTTGTACCCAGATGTCCATGGTACCGCTACCTTTGTCTCTAAGGCAATGCCTTTTTCTTTAAAATCAAACTCAGTTGTCTTGTACCCAGTATCAGTTTGTGTCCGTAGTGCTTATCAACTTTTCTCATGAAGCAGGTCTTGCTCATGTGACTTTTCAGTTTCTTTGAAACACTTTGTTTGCTTTATCAAATGAGATCTCAGATGGATTCGTGCCTTCGCCAATGCCATATATGCCCCAAATTGTGCTCGATATTACGGGGAAATTATAGCTAGTTTTGCAGCCATTTCTTTGCTATGCTTTTGATGCAGGATTAGACTGAAAGGGACTCAAAGAAAAATAATGGGAAAAACAGAATAATAATTGAAAGTGAAAAAGAATTGTGCTTAAACGAAAGGTGTCCCTTTCGGGGAAAGGAATAGGGAGACTTATCTGGAGGTATGTGCTGACTTCAATGAATCATGACATGCATTTTGGACTGGACGCCTGATCCGTCTGAGCTGTCTAATTCTCAAAATCCGTTGCAAATGTTCATCTTGAAATTGTCTTGGTTGTGCTCATGCCGGAGAATCGAAGACCCTCATTCGGCTAGTAGCGCCCTTTGCGGGTTTTCGCTAACTGGCCTCTCTCATTTCTCTACTCACCGTTGCCTTATGGTGCCCATCTGGGTTTTAACCGATAAGACTCTCTCATTTCTTTTTAACTAAGATACTGCATGAGGGAGGTTGCCCAACGCCCTTGGCATGGGGACTTCAAACATTCTCAAAAAATTGATCAGAAGTTCTTGAAAGGTAAAAGGGCGAAATGAACCTTGAACTGAATTACAACTTTTGGAACCGTTTTTACAGAAACACCGTAAAATAAAACAAACTTCTGCCCCAGTTTTGGAGTATTGGGAATATGGATTTTTTGTTCTGATGGGACCGAACCCAGGGTAAGGCTGCCTACGTATCCTTTCGGAATCAGGTCGGACGTAGTTCAATGACTCCGAAGCGTTGTTGTTTGACTATTTTTTCTTTCTTTCTCTTTTTTTTACAAGTACACAGGTTGCAGAAAGTGTAAAACAAAGAAGATAAATACGGCTCAAAAGGGTTAACAAAAGAGTGACACCTATTTGGAATAGCGAACAAATGATAGCCTTCATCATCTCGATCTGAGAAAATCAATGCGTGAAAGTTCTACAGTGGCCATATATCAGACATAATATCTTTTGACTGCATTTGCATTAATAGTCATGTCTGGTACCTGTCCTTCTTCATCTACCAAGTGCAAGGCCCCTTTTGCTAACACTTTCTTGATGATGTAGGGTCTTTGGCAGTTCGGTGCGAACTTTCCTTTAGCTTCAACCTGGTGCGGAAGGATGCGTTTCAAAACTAGCTGGCCTACCTCAAACTTCCTTGGGCGCACTTTCTTATTATAAGCGCGTGCCATTCTTTGCTGGTATAACTGGCTGAAACACACTGGTGCTAGCCGTTTTTAATCGATCAACATCAGTTGTTCTAATCGGGTCTTGACCCACTCAGTGTCTTCAATCTCTGATTCCACAATAATTCGGAGAGAGGGAATTTCGACTTCAGCGGGTATTACAGCTTCAGTTCCATATACAAGCAGATACAGAGTTGCACCAACAGATGTGCGAACTGTCGTGCGGTATCCCAAAAGAGCAAAAGGCAACTTTTCATGCCATTGCCTGGAACCTTGGACCATCTTCCTAAGAATCTTCTTGATGTTCTTGTTCTCCGCTTCAACGGCTCCATTGGCTTTTGGTTGGTAAGGGGTAGAATGACGATACATGATTTTAAATTGTTCGCACACCTCCTTCATCAGATGGTTATTTAGATTGGCTGCATTATCAGTGATAATGGTCTTTGGGATACCAAAGCGACAGATGATGTTGGAATGGACAAAGTCTACCACTTCTTTCTTGGTGACTGCTTTGAAAGTGACGGCCTCCACACACTTGGTGAAGTAATCAGTTGCAACCAAAATGAATATATGCCCATTTGAAGCCTTTGGCTCGATTGGCCCAATAACATCCATTCCCCAAGCAACGAAAGGCCAAGGAGAGGACATGCGATGCAACTCGGAGGGAGGCGAGTAAATCAGGTCACCATGAATCTGGCATTGGTGACACTTGCGAACAAAATTGAAGCAATCTCGCTCCATAGTAAGTCAATAATACCTAGCCCGCAGAATCTTTTTCGCCAAAACATATCCATTCATGTGAGGTCCGCATACCCCCGAATGCACCTCATTCATGATCCGCTCCGCTTCCGTGGCATCTATGCATCTCAACAAATTTAAATCTGGGGTCCTCTTGTACAGAATTTCCCCATTCAAGAAGAAACCACTGGCGAGCCGCCTTATAGTTCTTTTTTGATCTCCTTTGGCATGCTCTGGATATTCTCTTGTTTTCAGGAATCATTTTATGTCATGATACCATGGTTCACCATCTGGTTCTATCTCAATTGTATTGCAGTAACCGTGTTGATTCCGAACTTGGATTTCTAGTGGATCATCGAGGCTAATGTAGCCAAGGCATCGGCTAGCTCGTTGTGAAACCTGAGAATGTACGTGAACTAGATAGATTTGAATCTTTTGCTCAAGTCTTGCACACATTGTCTGGACGGAATAAGCTTGATGTCTCGAGTCTCCCATTCGCCCTAGGCTTGCCGGATAAGCAAGTCAGAATCTCCCATAACCAATAGTTCATACACATCCAGATCGATGGCCATTTTCAAACCCATGATACAAGCTTCGTATTCTGCCGTATTATTGGTACAGAAGAATCGAAGTCGGGCCGTTGCAGGGTAATGATGTCCAATAGGTGAGATGAGGATTGCCCCGATCCCAACTCCTTTGATATTGACAGCCCCATCAAAATACATTTTCCATACAGGGTGATCGTCTGGAACCACTTCCTCTATTGAGTTGACCTCTTCGTCTGGGAAGTATGTGCTAAGTGGCATGTACTCATCATCAACTGGATTCTCTGCCAAATGATCTGCCAAAGCCTGTGCTTTCATCGCGGTGCGAGTGACATAGACGATGTCAAACTCTGTGAGCAGGATTTGCCATTTTGCGAGCCTGCCAGTGGGCATTGGCTTTTGGAAGATGTACTTCAAAGGATCCATTCTGGATATGAGGTAAGTAGTGTAGGCCAAAAGATAATGTCTAAGCTTCTGAGCGACCCAAGTCAAGGCACAACATGTTCTTTCTAAAAGGGTGTACTTGACCTCATAATTGGTGAACTTCTTGCTCAAATAATAGATTGCCTGTTCCTTTTTGCCTGTTGCATCATGTTGCCCCAGAACGCATCCAAAGGAATTATCCATCACCGATAGATATAAAAACAAAGGCCTACCAGGTTCAGGCGGGACCAGTACAGGGGGTTTTGACAGATAATCTTTGATCCTGTCAAAAGCTTTTTGGCAATCGTCTGTCCACCTGATAGCGGCATCCTTTTTCAGCAACTTAAAGATGGGCTCGCACGTGGTTGTGAGCTGAGCAATGAACCTACTGATGTAGTTCAACCTCCCGAGCAAACTCATGACTTCCTTTTTGTTCTTCGGGGGTGGCAGATCTCGAATGGACTTTATCTTAGATGGATCCAATTCGATGCCTCTCCGGCTAACTATAAAACCGAGGAGTTTCCCAGACGGAACCCCAAATGCACACTTGGCTGGATTAAGCTTAAGGTCATACCTTCGAAGCCGTTCGAAGAACTTTTTCAAATCACACACGTGATCAACTTGTGTCTTTGATTTTATGATAACATCATCGACATATACTTCAATCTCTTTGTGCATCATGTCGTGAAAAATGGTAGTCATGGCCCTCATGTAGGTTGCCCCTGCATTCTTTAAACCGAATGGCATGACCCTGTAACAATAAGTACCCCATGGCGTGGTGAACGCGGTCATTTCTGCATCATCCTCATCCATTAGAATTTGGTGGTACCCAGCATAGCAATCCACGAATGATTATATGTCATGTTTTGCGCAATTATCTACAAGAATGTGGATATTTGGCAAAGGAAAATTATCCTTTGGACTTGCTTTGTTCAGGTCCCTATAGTCGACACAAACTCTAGTTTTTCCATCCTTCTTTGGCACAGGCACAACATTTGCCACCCAGGTAGTGTATCGGACAGCTCTGACCACATTGGCGCTTGGTTGCTTCATTATTTCCTCTTTGATTTTGTCACTCGCGTCTGTTTTAAATTTTCGTTGCTTTTGTTGGACTGGTGGAAAACCAGGATACGTAGGAAGCTTATGAACCACCAGATCAGCACTTAAACCCGGCATATTATCGTAAGACCAAGAAAACACATCTCTATATTCAAATAAAAGTTGAATCAAGGCACCTCTGGTTTTTTGTTCAGTGTGAATGCTTATCTTCGTTTCTCTAACTTCTTCAGGACTTCCGATATTAATCGGCTCAGTTTCATTGAGGTTTGGTTAAGGCTTGTTTTCAAATTGTTCCAACTCTTTTTTTATTTCCTCAACAACCTCATCTTCATCATATTCAACCTCTTGATGCATTATTTCGATATTAGACAGCTTTTTAAGATCTGGGCGTGAATTCCGCATGCATGTCATGTTATTAAAGCCGGCATTAACAAAACTGAAATGGAAATAAAATGACAGGAATTAGGAAAAGGAAAAGATAGAAAACTTAACAGGAAACTGAACTGCATTTCATTGAATTCGAAAGGATAGAAGGGTTATCATCAAAACAAAACAATCATACTGAGATGCTTGGATTACAACCCTGAAAATAACCCAAAATACAAAAAAGAAGCTGCAAAAGCAAACTACCAAGACTCCTTCCTTGTGGGGAGAGGAGTTGCTTCCCAGTTGGTGAGCATGGTCTCGGGGTCAATTAGTTGCATATCGGCACGACTAGTGCCTTCACCAGCCTGGATCATATTCACTTCAGAAAACATCTCGCTGAGGCCATGGCAAATTTCATCAATGTTTGCATGCGCCGAGGAATTTTGACCCTCTCGGAGTCGTGGCTTGACAAAAGTGTAGAAAATATGAGGGACAGGCTGTTGCAAGACCCATCCATGCTTTTTGCGGTGTTTGGCTTTGTTTTCGTCTGCTTGTGTTGGCCTGAAGCCCAATCCAAAACTACCCTGGTTACCGAACGGAGAAATAGGCTCCGAAATTCCTTGCAATGATGCCCCCAAGCCTTTTCCTGGCTTATAACCTTGTCTCATCATAACTGCAGCCACCATTACAGATGTGGCGAAAAGACGAGGATGCAGAATAGGCTTTCCTTCCTCGACATGGTCCACAGCAACCACTTCAAACGCCTGATAGACAATGGACTCAGACCCTTCCTTGGCCTCAATACAGGGGATAAACGGGTCTTTATAAATGGAAGACTTGTCTTCTTCGTGAACAATAATTTCTTGCCTGTCATGTTCAAATTTAGCATCTGATGCAAGGTGGATGGCACAGCTCGGGCCGTATGGATCCATGGCCTTCCAAGAAGAAAGTTATAAGAAGTGGCCATGTCCACTACCTGGAAGACAATCTCAAAGTCAACTGGCCCAATCGTCATGGTGAGGTTGATCTCCCCAATGGTATCTCTTGCTGAGCCATCAAAAGCCCGGATGCGAACATTGCTGGGTCGGATTCTGTCTGTATCGATCTTCATGCTTTGCAAGGTAGAGAGAGGGCATACATCTACACTTGAGCCTCCATCAACCATGACTCGCTTTACATAATGACCCTCACATTTGACCATCAAGTTCAAAGCCCTATTGTGCTCGGCTCCCTCCTCGGGAAGTTCATCATCAGTAAAGGAGATTCTGTTCACCTCAAAAAATCTGTTGGCCATCTTCTCTAACTGATTCACTGTGGTTTCCTCTGAGATATGTGCCTCGTTCAGGACCTTGATTAGTACACGGGCATGCTCTTTGGAATGTAGGAGAAGAGATAGTAGAGAGATTTGAGCGGGAGTCTTTCTTAGTTGATCAATGATTGAGTAATCCTGAACATTCATCTTTTTCAAAAACTCTTCCGCATCTGCTTCAGCGACTGGCTTCTTTATTGGCAAATGGCCTTCTCTAATTTGCTTGGCCTTCCTCAACTCTTCTGGAGAGTAACATCTCCCTGATCGAGTAAAACCTCCAGTTTCCCCCACTTCCTCTATGATTTCCTTGCCTTTGTAGGTCATCACCGTTTTGTTGTAGTTCCAAGGAGTGGTTTTTGTGTTGTTTACAGGGAGTTGCATGGCAGGTTTGATTACGATTGGCTCTGTTATACCTTTCGTACCTCCCTGCTTCTCCCTTTTGTCGGGATGGCCTCCAAGTACATATAACCTTGGGCTTGGAACACTAGAGTGAACTTCCAACCTCGAGATCTTTGGAACAAATAAAGTTGCCTTATTTGAGTTCTGGGCGCCTTTAACAATCAATGGCACGTCTCGGCTGGGACTTACTTCCAGACCTGCTCCTTCTTGAATTGCACCCACTGTCATTTCTGCTCGACCGACCGGCTTGTATTCTTGGTCTCGGCCAATCATTCCGACAAAATGAACATCATTGTGTGCTGGCAACGAATTATTTGTCACGTTAGGAGGGTCCTCGCCATTCATCACTACAATCAGTTTTTCGGAAATTAGTCTCTCTATGGCTCTTTTCAGAGTCCAACAGTCATCAGTGCTATGCCCTGGGGCACCGGAATGATATTCACATCTAGCATTCGCTTGAAATCCATGCGAATTGGGATGCATATGGTGGGGAGCGATGGGTCCAATTACGCCCATTTGCTTCAGCTTCTGGAATAGACTAGAATATGATTCAGCCAATGGAGTGAATTTTTCTACCGGCCTCTACTCTCGACCATAATCCTGCCTGGGACGAGCATTGTAAGGTGCCCGAAAATTTTGCTGCTGAGGTCGGGGGGCCCTCGGAGCTGGTGCCCGTACCTGCTGATTGGGAGGCCGAGCATATGATTGAGCATTGAACACTGTATATTGTGGTGGGCCCACAGAGTATTGAGGAATCGGCGGGGGATAATAATGTTGAGGGTAGCTGGATTGCCCCTGCTGAAATTGCACATAAGGGTGCGATGCCCCTCTTTGAAACTCCCTAGATCCCGAAGCCATCATGGACCCTTCATCTCTCTTCTTTCTGTTTGCCAAACCTCCCGACCCATTTTGGATAGCTTGGGTGGTGGCTTTGAGAGCAGCTTGACTTACAATTCTGCCAGTCTTGAGGCCATTTTCGACCATCTCCCCTATTTTGATTGCTTCTGCAAAAGGTCTACCCATCGCGGACATCATGTTCTGAAAGTAATCAGGCTCTTGAGCCTCCAGAAAAACAGTGATCAACTCGTGGTTATCCATGGGTGGCTTAACTCTAGCCGCTTGCTCCCTCCACTTGATGGCATACTCCCTAAAACTTTCGGTCGGCTTTTTCTTCATATTGGACAAAGAATTACGATACGGCGCAATGTCAATGTTGTACTGAAATTGTTTGACGAAGGCCTGGGCCATGTCATCCCAAACATGCCAGTGAGAGATATCTTGGTCAATGAACCATTCGGAAGCTACCCCCACCAGGCTTTCCCCAAAGTAAGCCATCAGTAGCTCTTCCTTTCCTCCTGCACCCCTCAGCTGGTTGCAGTACCTTTTCAAGTGGGCGATGGGGTCGCCGTGTCCATCATATTTCTCAAATTTCGGGGTCTTGAACCCTCGTGGCAAATGGATGTGGGGGAACATGCATAGATCACTGAATGAAACGCTTTTGTGACCACCTAGTCCCTGTATATTCTTTATATTTTGTTCAAGACTTTTCATTTTCCTAGCCATCTCATCTGGCTCAAGTGGCAGGCTTCTCATTTTCCACTGGTGACTCGTACTGAGGAGTCTGATTGTATGGAGCCGAGACCCCGAAAGCCATATCTGGAGAATAGCATTGGCCATCATAAGCATGAGATGGTGGCTCATTGTTTGGTCTCGTCACAGGTGGTGGCAGCAGGATTGTATATACCGGTGCGCCAGACACGACGAGAGGGGTGTTCCTAACCGGTGCGACTGGAGGTCGCATATTAGAGGTACCGGGGGCAGCATGGAGGCTGTAGTTTGGCACATACCCTGGTGGTAGAATGGGATCGCTTGTTGCATGGAGCGGTGTTTGAGTAGCCTGGGGTACGGTGAAAGTTCCCTCTGAAGGACCCTGGGGTGGAGGTCGACCGAAAACCCAAGCTTGATATACATCTGACAATTGTTGTCTCAATTTTCTTATTTCCTCCGACTCTTGCTCAACTGACTGACCTTGCGGATTGTCACTGACCAACTCAATTTCATCACTATTGTCCATTACCACTGCTCCCTTAGATCTTGTGAAGTAATGATGTGTTGCCAGTTTTCACCACAAACCAACCACCTTAAGCTTACTGAATTAAGAGGCAACAAATGTGTTAGAGTTAAGCATTTTGCAGATAAGAATCACACGTAGATATGCTATGCTCCTAAAATATCATCATCTC